GCTGGGAGAAGCCTTAAAGGAATTTTCAATGTTTGTCTGGAAATTTTTGAGAAAGGGACAGAGTCAGCTCCTTTTGGCCACACTTCTTATAGTCACAGCTGTATATACTAATTTATATATGYTATTTTATAGTTTGATTAAAGCAAATAAATAAAAATAATGCATAATACCTTAAAGCCCCATCTCATTTTGTCCCAGCTTCTCAATTTGAGACTTTCTAAGGAGGAGGCAGGAAAACCACATTCACATTAATTCATCCACAGACCTTAGAGCAAGAAAATTTGGAGAGAAAAAGGTGTTACTGAGAATTTTTTTTTTCATACCCCAAACCTGCAAGTTGGAAGGAACCTTACATATTATATAACCCAATCTTGTTTACTCCTGTAGAGACTGAGGCTTAAAGATGAAGTAATTCACCTGAGGTCCCTGTGACACCAGAGCCAACCTGGGCCACGGCCTTGGACTCCTCACTCCATCGAAGCTCTGCCCTGTGCAGTGAGCAGCCTGGTGAATGTTCTACCAGGCTCTTTTTCATTACAGGAGTTACTGAAACCAACTGTCTCACAGTTGCACAGGAGCAATCTATTTTAGGAAGCAAATGCAAAAGTTTTTCACTTAGATTTGCCAGATGGTCTGAGAAGRGCATGAAGATGCAGAAAACACTGCAGAGAAATAGCCCAGAGAGTCTTGGCCAAAGAGCAACTAAATATCACTGAGGGCCAACCATAGAGAGGCCTTTAGGTAGAATTGAAAGGTCCAAGTAAGTTGGTAGAAAGTTAAGGAGTTACTGAGCAATGCACAGCCTCGTGTTGTAGGTAYTATTGACTTCTTAAAAGATGTTCTAAATTTTAGAAGCCACAAGATAGTTAATGCTAGTGAATTTCAGGTATTTTAATCAAATGATGTGTTTAAAATAGATATTTGTAAAAGTTATTGAATAAGTGTACTACACTGGATCTTTTTGCTTGATAAAAGTATAAGTCAGTAGGTAATATTTGTAAAATTCAGAGGGAGGGAGGATTCTGTTTAAGCACCTCTTGGGCACCCCCTGGTGATGCCTTTTTCAGATAGATTAGGCCAGTGGCTCTCAATAGGGATGATTTTGTTCCCCAGGGGCATKTGGTGGTGTCTGGAGACTTTGCTGGTTGTCACAACTTGGAATGGGAGATGCTGCTCCTTGCATCTGCAGGGTCAAGGCCAAGGATGCTGTTTAACATTTAATGATACCCGGGCCAGCCCCTCACATCCAAGAACTATCTGATTAAAAAGGTTAATAATGCTGAGGTTGATGTCCTTGATTAAGTGGAAGCAATGGATATGCTCAAGAAAAAGTGGAAAACCCCATGGCTGACTTTGGTCAATAGCAAACATGTCTCCCTGCACTTGCACCCTCTATGACCCTGGGAGGGGAGGACGTAAGGGCTTTGTTCCCTGTGGTGTACAGCAGCAGCCACAGCGCAAGGAAGCTGCCTATTGCCGGGATGATGACTTTGACGTGAAGATGTGGCWTTCATTGATTGTATCTGCAGAAACACCAAAAGCCATTTCTCTTTCATTACCTGTTGYAATTTTCAGCAGAGATGATTACATTGGTAGATTGGCCTTATATGAAAAACATGTTCCTGAAAAGTTGTGCGTGTTAAATCATAAATAAATACAGTCRGGAAACAGTAAACACTCAGAAGCCAGCAAATCTTACCCCCCRCCCCAGTTCTTGGGATTGAACCCAAGGCACTTTACCACATCCCCAGGCCTTTATATTTTTATTTTGAGACAGGGTCTCACCAAGTTGCTGAGGGCYTCATAAGTTGCTAAGGCTGGTCTTGAACTTGCAACATGTCTGTCTCAGCCACCCAACTCACTGGGATTACAGGTGTGTGTGCAGCCCCCTGATGCCAGTGAATCTTTTTCAAGTGAAAAAATCCCTTTAAATAAAGTCCTGTTCTCAAAGAGGAGCACACCTATAAATTGCATTTTTAATGTAAATACTTTATTTTTCCAGCATGTTACTTTTTTTGTGTATGTGGAGCTCCAAAAATTTTATATCATAAAGCAATTTCTTTCTCCTTCCTTTTCCTGTCCTTTTTCTTTTCCTTTGAAAAGAAAATCAGGGTGGGGAGGATTAACTCTAGATTGTCTGTATTGGGGAAGGTCATTAATCAATCTATCCATACTAGAGTTGAAAAGATGCCTGCTGGGTTACAAATTGTTAGAAAATTGGACTTGGTTCTATTTTGAAATCATTAATTTTTTATCTCATACTTTTTTTCAGTTACTGACCTTTGGCTAGAAAGAGCAGGTGCATTCGATCCCTCCATAACCCTATGGGTGTTTTTGCACCAGAAATATCCGATAACATTCAATCTCTTCACTCACTTGGGCCTGGTATCAGCAGAGATAAGGGAGTGGCACTGAAGGGACCCTTTTTCTTCATCACTCACTGCCCTAGGGCCACATCCCTGGATGTATAAATCCCCAAATTACCCAGCAGGACAAAAGGGGCATAAAGGAGGAAATTTATTTGATAAAGCTACCATTAGTGTCACTTTAGTGATAGGTGATTACAGAGGTGTGATGGGCAGGGGAAGCCACTGCCTTTGAGGAAGGGCTTGTCAAGAAAAGCCTTCTGGGTGTGACCTTCATCCCCACAGACAGGAGGGAAGAGGCAGGGGAGAGGGAGAGACTAGAGGTGACCCTGCCATATCCAGTATTCCACCAATGTCAAGGAGGTGGATACTGGAGTCACCTGTGAAGGATGATGTCACACACCATTTGTGTGGCCTTCCACATATTTGCTCATTTTAGCCTCACAGCAACCCAGTGAGTAGGAAGGAGATCACCATGAGCAGCATGTTATAAAGTGGTAATAACTTACCACTCAGCTACAAAGAAAGATCTGTGGTTCAACACAGGTCTTCTGACTCGGAGCCCTCTGTTTCCCTGCACAAGGGCACATGCGCTTACTCAGATGGCCAGTAAGCAGCCTGGCGCTCAGTGGGAGACATGGCTGGGCTGCCAGGAGCCTTGGGTTCCGGCCACAACTGTCTTCAACTGTGTCCCCAGGAGACAATGACTAACCCTTTTGGAATCTGTTTTGTAATCTGTGAAATGAGGGGGTTGATTGAGATGTCCTTGGTCACATAGGTGAAGATAGTCCCTGCAATGACACAGGTGAAGTCTGCAGTGACGCCCCACAGAAAGACAGCAGGCAGCCTGAGGGRCAGTGGAAGGGGCAGTTCCAGTGTGCCCTGCACCAGGGATTATACCAAGCACCTTCCCCATGATCTCATTTTAGGCACTCAGCACCCCAACAAGGCAGATGCTGATATTACCTCCATTTAGCAAATAAAGAAACCGGCGCCTGGAAGGTGAAGTAACTTGCTCAAGGGCATTGTTTAGTCTGCTCAGAGTACCATACCAAACACCACAGACTGGGCAGCTTAAACAACAGAAGTGTGTTTCTCACAGATCTGGAGGCTGGAAATTTCAGATCTGGTGCTGGCAGGATGGGCTTCTAGTGAGACTACTCTTCCTGGCTTTTAGGTGCCCTGTCTTCCTGTGGCCTTTCCTCTTAGGCACAGGGAGAGAGAGAGACTGAGAGCAAACCTTCTGATGTCTCTTCTAAGGTTCTGTGCCTGTTGGATCAGGACCCCAACCTTGCACTAATACTGCCTAAACACAATGTCTCCAAATGCAGTTACACTGGGGGATTGAGCTTCCACATATGGACTACAGTGGGACCCACTTCAATCCATATCAGTGGCCAACAGTGGGAGGTGATTTGTAGATCCTTGCCTGCTCTTCTACCCACCACTGCATTTCCCTTTGCTTGGAGAGCCGAGCCTGGGCATGAGGACCTTAGGGTGCTATGAAGCCCCTATCTGCTGTCTCTCAGTTAGACCTCCTTCCTAATGTCTCCTGCCAAGTGACTGCCTCCTTTCCAGGACATGAGGTTAGATAGGAATCCTGAATGGTGCAAGGGACAAGTTGTGGCAGACTAGGAAATAACACCCCCAAGATCCGACTGAAACTAGAGGTCCTGTGGGAAAAAACAAAGAAGGCTGAGGTGGATAGGGCCTGGAGGAAGGGTTCCTCAATCCCTCTTTAAACCCAGTACAGTGCTGGTCCCCTCTACACTGGCTGCTGCTAACTGAACAGAATAATACAGGCGATTCCATGGGCTCCTAGGATGAGGTGAAAGTTGCTTGTCACTCATGTGTGGAAAGCTGAGAACTTGATCCACATCAGCAAGCCACTCACTGGAGCAGCTATAGTTGAGCTTGTCAGTCATTATTAAAAACTTCGCAGTAAAAACAAGCTATTCAGACTCCTGTGCAGGCTTCCACTAGACTGAACAACAAACTAGTCATCCACCTGGAATGTCTCCCCTCCATAAATTACAATATCTGTCCTGTCATTGGGGAAAAGAACACATTTTCTTTCCTACTCTCTGGGGCTTCCTTGTTCATTCTTATGTTGTCAAGGTAGGCTTTAGAAAGTGGGAAGCTTTTCCTAATTTTTCAAAAAAAAAAAAAAGTTGGCAAAGAGTAATAGACCCCAGGACATCATTCAGAGAATGGAAATGTGTCATTTTACCTCCTCAAACTGTCAAATCAAGGCAGCAAGTTAACAAAGGACCACTTAGCTCATTATAACAGAAGTAGAAAGCTGTATCCTCACAGAGGTGGTGCTCAGCCTGCTGTGAGGTGCGAGTGTTTCTGGTTATCCAAGCAATTCTCATTTTCTGTCACTTTTCCTAGAGTCACTACCCACCCTTCCTCTTCAGTGGAGAGAAAACAGGTGCATGGATCTTCCAGTGCTGCCCCTTGTCGCTGTGATAACATAGTCACTGGACACCTGCTGATTCCCCACCATTTCTCCTCCTGTGGGCAGGGATGTCCAGGATAGTAGATGTGTCCCCATCTGCTCCCTGAGTCCGCACACCTCAGCGTGTCACCTTCTTCACTCTCACACATCGTTTCGCTGGTTGGCTTYCACAGGTGTGAAAGCTGTGGAGCTGTCTTCCATTCTGAATGCAAAGAAAAGTCTGTCCCCTGCCCGAGGTGCGTCCGCAGAGAGCTGCAAAAGAAGCAGAAGTCCTTCTGGCAGAGGCTGAATGTGGATGAGAGCCTGGAGGAGGCGTGCACCATGTTCGAGCTGTCCTACCAGAACACCTGACCTGCCGTCCAGGCCACTCACCCTGTAATGACCTGGCCAGAGGCTTCCGAGGGGACACCTACACCCCTGTGAGGAAGAGCACCCTCTTCAGCTAGATGTAGATATATGTGTTTATTTATTTATATACACACTGTATGTCCTGTGCGTAGGTCCTGTGTAAATCATTGTCTAACAGGTCCACAGAGCTGCTGTGGCTGAAAACCTGCCGATGGCTGAGTTACACTTGGCCATGAATCTCAGCTGCTTGCTCCCAACAAAACCTGGTTTACACACAAGGCTGTATAGTTCTTTTTATAGACCTTTTTTTTTTTTTTTTTAAGTTCTTCTTATTTCTTTCTTCTTTTTCTTTTTTGGCTCTGAGGACCATTTTGTTACACAAGACATGGGAAGAAGCATTTCCTGCAGAGCAACAGAACTTCGGGTATTTTTCTGAGTTATTTATTTTTAGCCTTCTCTGAAGCCAAGGGAATTGAGGCAGGCATCATCATGCTCTGTTTCATTAGGAAATCTCCAAAACACAGGAATGCTCCTGGATTCTTCCAGGACCAGTGTCCTGGACAGAGGTGGGGATCATCCCAGCAGAGCCGCACGGTGGGAAGCTGGGAGAGTGTGCTTCCTCTGACAGAGATTGAAGCTCTAACTCAGGAGGAAAGCTGGTTCTGGTTTTGAAGTTAATCTCAGAAAGTTTTTTTCCTGAGAAAAGAGGAGAACTCTGTGACCAATAACTGTATGTTGGTCTGTTTGCCACTACAAGTCCCAATGCCTGCCTAATGATGTGACTCTCCACCATTTTTGCCAGGTTGTAAATGTGACTCTCTTAAAACAGTTTTCCAAGGGTATTGTGGGTGATTGTTATGATTTTTTCATGGTGCTGGCTGGAGAAAATGTCCTAGGATCATCATTAAAGACATCGGAGCCTAGACTCGTAGGTGGAGTACACAGTCCGTGTTGGGAGGAGACGAGCTTCGATTTCCTTTCACAGAGTCCTGCCTGTGTGGGCAGTTTCTACCCAGGCCTTTGAAATGCTTTATTTCTCAATGTTCACTGCACTTTCATTTTGATCTTTGTCKATTTAACCACTCTTGATTTCTGCATTTTTTTAATTATTTAAGAAATCCGAGTATCATTTTGAAAAGCATCTACTTTAAGCTATTAAGAAAATTTCAAACTTATAAATAGAATTAATGAATTAAATCTAATATTGTTTAAATAAGTAGATAGACACATATATAATTGCCACCTTAAAGTAAAGCAAAAAGTGCTAGTATAAATAACATATAGAAATAAGAAACATAACAAATYGCTTAGCTGTTTGGCAGGATAGTGGCTTCGCACTGCAGAGCCCTGGTAAGAGCCAGCATAGCAGYCTCTGTGACCCACGGCAGGTAGGACAGCACTGGAAACTGAATGGCTCCCATTCCTTCTATCTTGACCCTTTCTTGAACAAGAAAATATGCTTCTAATGGAACAGTTCTCAGTCTTCCTTATGAGAAGATCCTGTATCTTTCGCCCTGGCAGATGTCACCCATGCCTTTCTGGTTTGGTCATTTCACCATTGCAATCTGGGGAGTCAGTGGTTCCCAAGGTCCATGGTACATCCAGCCCCACACCTTGCTCCATCCAGAGACCAGCTCATGATACTTCCGTCCATTTAGAGGCATTTCAGACTGACTTTTATGCAGTTAGCTGTAAGCATTTCACCTCCCAACCTATGCCTGTTCTTTCAGCCCCAGACCACACATTTCAACTTAATAATTCGGCACCAGGCATGCATTTATGTTCTGCTTATACAGTAGCTGTAACCAAGGCATGAAACTTGTTAAAAGGCCAGGGCCCTATTCACGAGACACCTCATGGTGCCTTTTACTCTTAGAAAAGTAGGTTGACTCCCCCCAACACATACACACTGTAGTTATAGAGAATGTTGCACACAAAAGAAAAAGGGTGGAAAGTCTCAGACACTTGGCAACCAGGCAAGCAAATTTGATCATCTCCTTTCCTCCTCCCCTTTGTGAAATACAGTATTTATATTTTCCAGCCTCAGAGAAGATAGCAGAACATGATCTTTCACAAGAGAATTATAGACCTGCTTATTATAAAACAGATGTGCTCCCATGGCAAAGTGCCTTCTCCCTCCGCCCCCAGCTCCCTGTCGCTGTAGCTTACTTTTGCCTTCGCTGTAATTAATGTATCTGTGATTCCAACTGTCAGCGAGGCCTTCCCAGCCCACTGAGATTGGAGACGGGAAGTATGATGCCCCCTCCCCAACATCTTCACTCTATGTACAGAATTTCCTGTCCCAGACACCCAGGGTCAACCCTGACAAGAGTTAAGGGTGACATTCTGAATCCCTGCTCTAAACACCTTTTTTTTTTACCAGTACCCGTTTAGAGGGCTCTGCTAAATATTAGCAGTCCCTGGGAACAACTAAGAATTTTCCACCCCCGTCATATTCTGCTTATTTTCAAAAGGGAAAAAAATAAATGTGCTATCACCATCAGCTACCCAGAACTGGAACTGTGTCCCCACGGCTTCTGTTTTCTCTCCTTTTTGTACAACCCTGACAGCCTTGTTCATGCCAGCCACAGGCCTACAACAACACTCTGCCACCACCACCAAAATCTAATAGGACAGAGTGGAGCCAGCTTAGGAGCAGGTCTGCCATGAAAATTCAAAATTGCTGTTTTCAGTCCCAAATGCCGTAGAGTGTATGAACGCCCTTACTGTTTTCAACCCTAGCAAATTCCTTGTTGCAATGTTAGGTAATTGTTCCACTGCTTAGAAACTGTCAAAAAAAAAAAAAAAAGGCAAGTCTGTGGATTTCCAACTTCTTAAGACCAAACTGATACCTGATTTTCCTCGTGTTCCATTTTTCATCCCATGGTAAATATACTGCACGTAAAGCATAGGAGAAAATGGCCAATTAATCTTCTGGAGCTGGCGGCCAAGTTCAGGGAACTGCTTTTCACTGAAAGGCCCATTCCCTGGTGTATAACTTGAGGAAATCCCTCCTACCAGTGCCAGAAACTCATGTGTGAGACCGTCCAACCCTGGTGAAATGTTGGCATCCAACCCCCCAGTAAAGAAGCCAATTCCTAAAATAGGCTTCAGTTTGCACCGCTGCAGGACAACCTCAGAGCACTTAGGAAGTGGTAGACTAGGGTGGGTGTGCTGTCCGGGGCCACCCCTTCCCAAAGTTGAAATGTCTCTACGTGAAAACCATGGAAATCCACATCCCCTTCTGCTTCACTGTCTTTTCAGAGGACTCACAGTCACTTTCCTGTCATAGTGGTAAGGGTCATCTTGTTAGGAGCTGAGGGTAATCACTTCTTAGTTCTTTTCAACTAGGCCTATCCCCAAAAGAGAATATGGCTGGTGCTTGGGATTTGTGGTGCCCGACCCAGTGGTACCCTTCAGGCTCCTGAAAAGGAACTGTGCCATGATTCCCCCTCAGCTGCAGTGGGAACCAAGGTGTCTCTATCACTCTGGTTACTGAACACAGCCTGTGCTGGCCAGGTCTGGACTCCATGCTCATCTCTGCATGTTGAGTGTTCACCCCAGCTGTTAACACCAGATAGTTTCGTTCCTCCTCCTCCTCCAAGAGGCTTGGCTTCCAAACCTGAGGCTTTGTTCTGTATCCATTGGCCAAAAAAGGCCACATATAAATTAATTGTCAGGGCGAGGCTGGCATGATGCCACTCACCCTGAACACTTATTACAGAGACAGGCATTATCTGAGGTCCATTCCGCTCTGGAGTCAGGGTAAAGCCACTGCTGCTGCTCATATGTGTGTGCAGAATTATTCTTCTCCATTATCTGCTGCACTTTGTTTTTGAAATAACTAGACTATGAAATAAATCTTCAATTCTCTATTCCAATACTGCCTGGCTTCAATACAGATGTTATTTTATTTTATTACTTCTCACAGTAGATTGAGTACAATTTTTTATTGCACTTTTTATTTCTTGAGCTACCTACTTTGTTTCATACTTTGAAATAATGTGAAAAAGTAGAAAATTTGGGACACGACTGAAAGAAACAACACTGCTCTCTTTGGCATGAAGGGAGTCATTGGCAAATCCCTCTGCTTTCCCTTTCTGGGTGCCGTACTTGTCAGTGATGGGCATCAGGGACTTCAGATGTCCTGCTCCTTGTGCCACTCTTCTGACCCAAGTTAGTGCAACCAGCTGCTCTAGGTCGAGTCCGGGGATGGGTGAATAAGTCCTGCTCAGTTAATCCAGACAGACAGATGTTGATTTCTATCGTGTGGGACAGTGTTTTGACAGTTAAAGCTTGACACCCAACAGCCTTTTTATCAACAGACTTTTCATTTCATTGGGTTCAAAAACTCTGACTGAGGGTTTTTTCTCTAGTACGTTTTTGTAGGTCCATGGCTGAAGTCAAATCCAAGCCATTTGTTAAACTCTAGGTAAAAGCAAAACAAATATAAGTGTGGAATATCCTCCTAAGCATAGCCACAGTTGTCAGGGGTTTTACTTACAATGGGTTCCAAGTGGCCACGTTACATGGCCCTGTGCTCACAAGGGTCCTCTGCTGTGCTGAAAGGCCATTAAATGAGATAACTGCTGCTTTGCTTTGGTTTCTCCCATGGGCTGCTCATCTTGTTGGAAAGCACTTGAATGAAGCCAATTGTTGCCCAGGGTAGAAAATTCAGGCACCTCCAACAACTCTCACACAGTGAGGATTGCTTCTGACTGGCCATGAACCACAAACCAGCCCCTCTCTCCTTCACTTGCTCTTCCTTGTCCCTAGTCTTGAATCCCAGCCCAGATTCAGGGCTCACAGCTAATAACCCACCCAGTGGACCACTGGGCCTATGGCCCCTTCTCCATGTTGGCCTTTCMACTTGTTTCTCTTCCCTGTAGGAGTGCCTTATAGTGCTGTCTAGTGCTTCTAGTCTATCTACCTGACCCACTTGAAGCCTGCAGGACCCTTCAACTAAATATGGATCCCTTCACCTCTTCCTGGCTGGCTGCTCCTCACACAAGTGCACCTGCAGCCCACATACCCCGAGATGCACGAAAGACCTTCCACCTTTGCTTAACCTGGTGCCTTAACCTCATGCATAAAGGGATTCACATGGCAAACATGGTTACAGTGGTACAAGCATTGGCTTCTTAGTGCCATTGGCGCTTTTACTAAGAGACACAACCAATCAAGGTTTTAACTTTGTTTCGTACTGTTTCTTAGTCACTCTTTTTGATTGCTTGCTTGCTTGCTTTCATTAACCAAACTCAGGGGATGTCATCTTGT